TTCCTCATTCCTTTTAATCCTTAGTTCTCTTTCTTCCTCTGTCTGGAGTCATTCAGCCTGTCTATCTTCGATTATGCTAATTTTCTCCTCTATGTTGTCTACATGGGCATTCAGGGAATCTGTATTCTTTTTTATCTGATCCATCATATTTTCATCTCTAGTATTTCTGTTTGATTCTTCTTTATAATTTCAGTCTCTTTTGTGAAGTAACTCCGGAACTCGTTGACTTGTTTCCCTGTCTTTCCCTCTACCTCATTGAGTTTTTTGATGATAGCTACTCTGAACTCATTTTCACTTAGTTTACCTATTTCCAAGTCCTCAGGACTTAATTCTGTGTTTTTATTGTTTTCCTTCTGGTCTGGAGCTTTTATAAATTGCTGGATGGTAGAGAAGCGGTTTTTGCGCATGATGGTTGTATTCGGTTGCAGTTACAGCCTGTCGCCACTAGATGGGGGTCGAGAGCCGCGCGTTCTGAGCTCTCTGCCTTCGGGCAAGATGGTGGCGCCCAGTGTGGTTTGCAGGGAGGAGGGCCGGTTTCTCTCACGTGCCGATCTGGATTCTGATCAGCTCCTGTTCTGTGGTCTCCTGGGGCCCTGGTGTGATGGTGTCCCCATGCACAGAAGCTTTCCCCCGTCAGCGGGTTTCCACTGCACTGGTGGCGGGAGTCCTGGACGATCACTCGGTGGCACGGCCCCTCCCCTGCTCCTTCCCTCACCCGCCACAGTGATCCCAGTCTCTAGGGGAGGGAGCGAAGTTCTCTCTTACCCTGTTCCAGCTCCTCCGAGGCTGGCTGCAGCGTCTCCGTCCTCCGTGGTTTTGTTTCTGTAGTTCTCTGATGGTCTGGCATTAGGATTATTGGCTGAAATTCAGTTTTTCCAATCCTTTGTTGTAGTTTGGAGGGGAGAGAGTCCCGCGTCAGCTCACCCCGCCATTTTGCTACACCCCTCTCCGAGATATATGTTTTTTAAAGGAACGTTAGCTTGAGTTTTAATGAGATCTTGGCTAAAAGTATTTTCCTGGCTTGCCACATCTCGGCTGGGTACATGTTGTTACGCATGGAGCCATGAGGGAAGGACTGCCATTTGCAATTTAATTGTAATCCAAGTATTTGTTTCTTTCATGAGATTCAGGTGTTGGATTTCAGTTCAGACAACCAGAACTTTTGGACAAGGGTATATTGTCCATATATTGATACCGAGTTGTTTCTCCCTTTCTCTAACACACAAAGGAAAAAGGGAGCCGCTCAGGCACCCCTGTTTTTATGGGTTATCATTCTCCCAAAATTGTTAACTTAGAAAAGTCTGAAGAAATAGCAAAAAAATCTCCCTGGTTTGTTGTGCTTTCCAGCTGCTAAATCTAATGGAAGCCTCATACTATTTTGATGAAGGAAAGTGAGATAGTTTATTGGGAAGAGGGACTTTTACATGTCTAAATCTCATCTTTAGGTTTTTTTTTTTTTTACCACAAAGGTAGTTTTTTTCCTCCATCTCTTTTCCTGGGATAATTTCTGGCTCTGGTGAGGCTCTGCCTTTCTAGGACCTTCCTGATTCCAGTGTTCCAGGCCCCTCATGAGACTCACCTCTCTGAATGTTCAATAGATAGATCCATTTAGAATCAGTCATACAGCAGTATGAAGGGGTGGGGAGGTCTTCAGTTTCCTTCTAAGGAGATTGATGGTTACATTCAGCCTGATAGAACACAGAGGAGTTGTTTGTCACTAGTCATAGAGCTAGAAACCCAGGCCCTTGGATACAATTTCAGGAAGGCAAATTTGTAAATGGAAAACAATTTTCAGACACGTCTCCCAATTGCTCCCTCATCCTTCCCAACCCCTCCCCCATTGTGGTTTTTTGTTTTTGTTTTTTGTTAGAAATGTTTAAAACGGAGACAGTGACAAAGACAGCTGTCCCACTTTTGCTGTGCTCAGAATCCTCATTTTTGTTGAAAAGAGGATCCAATTTATCACTTCCCTCAGTATTTCCACAAGAAGAAGACTTCATTTATCTCCCCAGGAAAGGGAGCATCAGGGCAAATGCTTCTCTGTCTGCCTGATGATAGAGGGGAACTGACCAATTGAGAGGCCTGTCACTCCTTTTCTCTCTACCTGGCTGGTGGGATGTGTTGATGCACACCTGTGGTCCCTGCAGGGGGCTGCGTGTGTAGCCTTGGGGCTAGAACACATGTGTTGTAAACAATAGATTTGCAGATGGACGGGTAGAAGGGGCTTCAGGTCCAAGTTGCGTTCTTCAGCGCAGTTCTTGGGAAGGCCTGTATTCGGGGGCTTATTGGGTCTTTATTCAGGCATTAATAGAGCTGACATTGGGCTTGTGGATCTTGAAGTATGATACCATTTGTCAGAACCCCCACAGAAGGGGAGTGAATTCTTGCATCCCCTAGACTCCTGACAGTGAATGGCTCCTGAATGGCTTTGCTTGGATATTTCCCAGGTGCTTCCAACTCGGTATGCCCAAAACTGAGCTCCTCCTCACACCCACTTCTCCTGTGGTTCCTGTCTTGGCGATTGGCTTCAGCCAATCTTGTGGTTCTTGTGGTATGCCAAGCTGACATTCTAGATGTTGGAGCATAGGAGGCCCTTTGGGGCTCCTTTTTCACCATTCCCATGCAGTTCCCTTCTTGTTGGCTGCACCCTGCTTATCACTCAGGTCTTGGCTAGGACATCACCTTTGCCTGAGTCGTTGCTGACCCACAAGGCTGGGTGCTCCTGCAGCCCCCATGCTTCCCCACCATCATCCTAATTCCACTGAAGGTTGCCTGGTCATTTCTCTGCCTCTCCCGCTAGACTTCAAGCTCCTTGTAAGCAAGATCTGGGCTTGTTCATCCTTGAATACCAGCGCTAGTGCAGGGCCTGCCTATAGCAGCTGTTTAATAAATAGTTCTTGAATGAATAATACTCAGGCCCAGGAGTACCTGAGGCTGTATAGCATAATGGTCACAAGCCCAGATTTGGAACCTGAGGCCTAGATTCAGACCCTGCTATTTGTGTGATTTTGGGTGAGTTCCTTCTTGAACCTCAATTTCTTCACTAATAAGATAGGGATAATAAGCACTTCCTAGGGCTGTGATGATGAAATGCAGTAATCTATGCAAGCTACCTAGAGCAATGTGTGGCACATAGTGTTTGGTGTTTTGTATATCTATTAATGATAATAACAACAATAGTAATACAATTATCCTTAATAGAAAGGAGAAGGCTGTAAGAGAAACTTGGAAATAGAAATCAGGCATGCTGAATGCCTGTATAACAGGTTTAGAAGAGGTGGGGAGTGGGCTGGGAACCGAGGTTTCTAGCTAGGGCTATGAAAATGTAGGAACAGCTGGGATTACTTTGGGAAAGAATGACCAGGGAGGGAAAAATGGGGTAGGGGAATAGAAGACAGAACATTGAGAAATCCTACATCTGAGGGATAGAGAGAAAGAGAGAGAGAATGATTACAAGTAGGAGATTGCAGGTAGTCAAGGGTGCCATGCTGGGTGGAAGGTTTGCGAGTAGACTAGAAGAGGCAGCTAGAATTGGCCAAATGGGAGAGCATTAACACACTCGGGGACAAGCTGTTTCAGTAGAATCAGAGAAAGGAGGAAGCCACACTCCACAAGAGGTTAGAGCATGTTAGGGACGAAGTGGGTGCACTGAGCCATTTGTTGTGCCGCAGTGTGTGTTTCTGTGATGCAGATTAGTTTGTGGGTAGACAGAGGATCAGTGTCGATATAATGTGGAAGTCACGTTGGTTCATGTGGAGGGTTTTTCTTAGTATGTTAATGTTTTGCATCGCTGTCTAGTAGCAGCTGAAAGCACAGTACTCTAGGATAGCTGAAAGTAGCAAGCCCTGGGGAGACAGGGAGCTGCACGTGGCGCCCAGTCTCCCTGGCCTTTTCTGCTTAGCTGTGTGGCACCTGCTCTGTCTTGAAGGGCTTTGGGAGCAGTCCTCATCGATATTTGTGCATTTACTGATTGATTCCACACCACTCAGCAGCCTGAACCCCTCTGTTTACTCCTTCCATCATGCTTACACTCCCTCACCACCTTTTTTAAGGTAAAGAGTCATATCTACTGCAGTGCTTTTTATTAGGAATTTAATATATTTTTTAAAATCTCAGTTATTTTGTTTTTATTTTTGTTTTTTGGTGAGGAAGATTGTCCATCAGCTAATATCTGTTGCCAATCTTCCTCTTTTTGCTTGAGGAAGATTGTCCCTGAGCTAACATCTGTGCCAGTCTTCCTCTATTTTATATGTGGGATGCTGCCACGGCATAGCTTGATGAGCAGTGTGTAGGTCCATGCCTGGGATTGGAATCTCTGAATCCTAGGCCACCAAAGTGCAGTGCACGAACTTAACCACTATGCCACCAGGCTGGCCCCGTTAGTGTTTTTCATTGTGGTCGTTGTTTTAGTGCTCTGGTTAAAAAAATTTTTTTCATTTGGGAAAGATTGGCTCTGAGCTAATATCCACTGCCAATCCTCCTCTTTTTGCTGAGGAAGAGTGGCCCTGAGCTAAGATCTGTGCCTGTCTTCCTCTACTTTATACGTGGGACACCTACCAGAGCATGGCTTCATGAGTGGTGCGTAGGTCTGCGCCCGGGATCCGAGCTGGTGAAACCCAGGCTGCCAAAGCAGAGCACACAAACTTAACCACTATGCAACCAGGCCAGCCCCTGCTCTGGTTAACCCTGTTTTTCCAATTAGCCTTGTTATTTTTACTTTGAGCTTGTAAAGCATTAGTTTTTAGCAATACATATGTTCAATTATAGAAGTCATTCCCGTGACTCTTTTCCTACGGTTGAACAAGGCTAGAAGGAGGGATGGGAGGAAATAGTGGGCTCTACAGAAGGTTTTTCCCAAGGATCAGCAGACCTAGCCATGCTTGGCTGCCATTTGGTCTAAATCAGTTTTCCTTTAGTGACTATTTTCTTAAGTGCTCTTCATGATATATTTAGGTGGTTGTGTTTGTGCATTTTTTCCTCTCTGTGATCTTTTGCTACAGCCTGAACAAGCATCTGAGGCCGAGTTACACCCCCAGCTGAACAGAGCCCCCTCCCAAGCTGCAGAAAGTAGTCCAACAAAGAAGGTAAGGCCAGTGTGAGGGTGCGACATTGTGATGGCATTGTGAGCCTCTTTCCTGGGCTTCTTGCCTCTGTTAGGAAATCTACCGTTTTTTTTTTTTTTTAGGAATCTGAATTTTATTCTGAAACAATGGATAGCCATTGAAGGGTTTAAGTAGGGGAGTAATATGGTATTTGCATTATTTTTTTGAGCTAACATCTGTTGCGATCTTTCTCTTTTTGCTTGAGGAAGATTGTCCCTGAGCTAACATCTGTGCCAGTCATCTTCTATTTTGCATGTGGGACACTGCCACAGCGTGGCTTGATGAGAGGTATATAGGTCTGTGCCTGGGATCCGAACCCCTGAACCCCAGGCCACCAAAGTGGAGTGTGTGAACTTAACTGCTACACCATTGGGCAGCCCTGCAAGTCTACCCTTTTAAGGTTTTCATGTCCTGACATGAATGTTAATAGTTGAGATTTCCTAGAATTTGGGTTCTTTGTGAAGATTAGGGTCTTGATGATTCCTGGGCTTGACCTTGATGTCACTGACAGTTTGTACTTCTTTCTTCAACCTCCTAGCTAAATATGGTGGCCTTGCTTTTGGCAAGTTGAGGAGGTGTTCTAGGGAGGGACAGATGCTGTCAGCAGAACCTTGCATGCTGCTAATGTCCTAGGAGTGCCTCATGGGGGTGGGAAAGTCTCCCCTTCTTTTTGTGCCGTGGTCTCCTCTTGCATCCTGGCGTCCTTTCTGTAGCCCACCCATGTCACTGAGTCACGGGTCATTTGTTCAGTAAGCACCACTCAGTCATCATGCTCTCCTTTCATCTTCTCACTCTCTTCTTGTCCTTCCCCATTTTCTCAGGCCCTTGTACCTTCAAAGATAGTGGGCTCTGGGCTCAGGAGCACAGGTGAGGCAGGGGCCTCCAAGGAAGCAGGCCAGCTGTCTCCTTCCAGGCAGCACTGTTGCTCTTGAGCTTGACTTGGTGTAGGAATTGGGGGTAGGGGAATGATGAGCATATGACTAACACCTTTACAAATTTCAAAACGTATGTTCCATAAAGCCCCAAAGGGAGGCAAGAACCAGTTTTGTCTTCAATTAGAAAAGGCCCTGGGGTGTGAGATGCGCACAGAATTTAAAAAAAGGAAGGCAGGCAGGGAGGGCAGGTGGGCCACTACACTGATTCCTGTGTCCTTCCAGGTGACAAAAAGAGGTAATAGTCTGCAAGCATGAAAAAAGAAAAAGAAAGAAAGAAAGGCCACTGGAATCTGATGCCCGTGTCCCACCAGTTCTTGCCAAGACTTGAATCAGCCACATCTCCTTGGGTGTGGAGTTTGAATAGAGCACACACTTGACATTGGGGGCGGGCCTAGAGGAACATGGGGCATTGGCGTCTAGGGGGGAGCATTTAATTTTTTAACTTTTTGGGTTTTTTTGTTTTGTTTTTAATTCACAGGACTTACCATATTCTCAGCCCCCATCAAAGCCCATCCGTAGGAAATTCCGACCTGAAAATCAAGCTACAGAAAACCAAGAGCCTTCTACCACTGTAGGTGGGCCAGCTTCTGTAGCAGCCGCGAAACCCCATCCAACAGTCCAAAAGTAAGTAGAGCAGATAAATGAGAGCAAGGTCAGAATCTTCCTTATAAATCTGTGTGTCTATGTAAATGGAAATAACGTTTACATTTACACTCACTCCCATAGAAGGGTGTGATTTTGTGCTTGTAGTCTGACCTTCCTCATCTCGATGATTGGATTAGTCTTCCAGTCACAGAGAGAGGCTTTCTAAGCTGTAGGATTTAACCTGGCCCAAGGGGCAGGCGAGTCCCAGGCTGGGGTGTGTTTCAGTTTGGTTTGATTTCCTTCCCTTCCTCCCTCCTCTTCCACTCCTTCCTATTCTCTTCCTTATGCTGGCCTCCATTTTCCTAGGAAGAAGACATTTTTTTCCTTCTTTGCCTGCCTAGTCTCATGTTCCTCTGGGGCAAATGGCCCTAGTTTCATGACCCTCAGACCCAACTTTCAGTAGATATGGTGTGTGATTTCTTTTTAATCCCTGTAAAGAGTTTCTGTTGTCAGTTGTATCAGCACAGAATGGTCACATGCGGAGCCTCCAAGATACCTAACTAACTGTTAACAGACGTTGGAAGGGAGGATGTGGACAGCTTTGGACATGGCCAAGGACCAAGACAACAGTGTTATGGACAGACCATCCTTCTCCAGAAGGCTTTGGCTCTAAGAAGAGCTGTCACTTGCCTCAGTTTCCCTGTAGTGAAATTGAGCAAGATGTCGAGGGCAGAAACCTGCTGCCATGCGTGACTTCAAGTGAGCCCAACTGGTCACTAATGTAAATGTTAAAGATGTGTCATGACGCTGCTCTAGGGGCCTTGCAGATCTCAGGGGCTGCTGCGGATTGTCTCCTGCCTACACTGTTATGGAAAGAACAACTTGCCCTTGAATCCCAAGCCCCATTCTGAATCTGGGCAGCACTCTTCTTCAGATGATGGTTTTTGTTTTTGTTTTTCGAAGTGGACAGTTCCCCAGTGGTATCAGTGCATAAAGGAAGTATATTTTGTCCTTAACGGTCACTGAGAACCTTGACCATCTTCCAGCCACCCTCAAGCCTAGGGGATGGATCCCTATCAAGGACAAAGATGACTGAATTTTCTTACATGTTCTACGCAGCTTTTCACTTCAATCTCCACTTCACATTAATGCTAGTCAGTCAGTGGTGCCTATAACATCCTCCAAAGTGTGTGGCAGGGCAGGTAGTGGAGTTCGCACAAAGATCCCTTTCGTTTTCTTTTCTTCACTTGTTTTTTCTTAAACAGCTTTATTGAGATATAATTCACCTAGCATATAATTCACCCTTTTAAGTGTACAGTTCAGTAGTTTTTAGTATATTCACAAAGTTTGTGCAACCATCACCACAATCTAATTTTAGAACATTTTCATCACTCCAAAAAGAAATTCTGTGCCCATTAACAGTCACTTTCCATTCTCCTCTCTCCCAAGTCCCAGACAACCACTAATCTACTTTTTGTCTTTCTAGATTTGCCTATTCTGGCCATTTCATTTAAATAGAATCATACAACATGTGGTCTTTTGTGATTGGCTTCTTTCATTTAGCATGTTTTCAAGGTTCATCCATGTTGTAGCATGAATCAGAACTTAATTCTTTTTTATTGCTGAATAATGTCCCATTGTATGGATATACTGCATTTTGTTCATCCATTCATCAATTGATGGACCTTTTACATTGTTTCCATTTTTCAGCTATTAAGAATAATGCTGCTGTACTGTTTGTATACAAGTTTTTGTTTGGACTTATGTTTTCATTTGTCTTGAGTATATACCTAGAAGTGGAATTGCTGGGTCATATGGTAAGTCTATATTTAATATTTTGAGGACCTGCCAAACTCTTTTCCTTAGTGGTTGCAGCATTTTACAGTGCTGCCAGTAATGTATGAGGGTTCCAATTTCTCCTCTTCCTTGCCAACACTTATTTTTTTTTTATAGCCTTTCTAGTGGATGTGAAGTGGTATCTCATTGTGGTTTTGATTTGCATTTCACTAATGACGAATGATGTTGAACATCTTTTCATGTGCTTATTTGCCATTTGTATATCTTCTTTGGAGAAATGTCTACTCAGATCCTTTGCACAATTTTACTTGGATTATTTTTTTGTTTTTGAGTTATGAGTTTTTTAATGTATTCTGATAGAAGCCCTGTGTCAGATATATGATTTGCAAATATTTTCTCCCATTCTGTAGGTTGTCTTTTCACTTTCTTGGTGGTATTATTTGTAGCACAAATAATAAGTTTTTAGTTTTGATGAAGTCCAATTTATCTATTTCTTTTTCTTTCGTCACTTTTGCTTTTGGTGTCATCTCTAGGAAACCATTGCCTAACCCAAGTTCATGAAGATTTATTCCTGTGTTTGCTTCTAAAAGTTTTATGGTTTTAGGTCTTACATTGAAGCCCATGCTCAGTTTTGAGTTCATTTTTGTGTATAGTATGGGGAAGGGATCCAACTTCCTTCTTTGAGTATGGATATCCAGTTGTCCCAGCACCATTTGTTGAAAGGAGATGCTTTTATCTGCCTGTTCAGTGACTGTCCCTTACCATGATGCTCTCTCACTAGTTAGGTGACCACATGGTGTCAGGTTGAGAGGCTAGTGCCCATCAGCAAGACTTAATAGTGCTATAAATGGCAGGGATCTAAGCTTTGTGGTTGGAGAACTTCATAAAACTTATTTCAGTTCCAAGACCAGTTTATTTTGGAGTGAAAAAAAGCAACTTAGCATTCATAATTTTTTAAGCCCTGGAGAGAGAGACAGCCAGACACATGATGGTTAGTATGTATAGTCCTTTCTCAACCAGGGTTCTGGAAAGAATGAAGCTCTGATGCCCTTAAGACATCCATTGTCTGTAGTTAGTTAACCTCTCTCCTGCATCTAGAGTGGTCTTTACTGTGTATCATCTTTGGGAAAACTAAGAAAAGAGTCACAAATCATTTTCTTAATTCTCTAACAGAACACTGGGTAAGAAAGGCTAAAAAAATAGACTAGTTGCAAAATGGTTATCAGCTCTTTGGAAAATGAACATGAGAACTGATCTATCAAAAGAAACAAATTCTCCTTCAGATATTATTATTGTCTACTCCATTCAGGGCAAAGGAACTAAGGAAGTGTTCTCTCCAAGTGAGCTGCTGAGTCCAGGTTATAACTAATAAACAGCTCTAAGGTTGTGTCGTCAACAGTGAGCTTCCCATGAGGACAAAAGTGGGTTTTTCTTAGAAATAATTTGGCTTAGTTGGTTTTTCCCCATAGCTTGTGTATCTGCTAAGGATGGACTTTGGGAAAATACAATGGCTTGAGCAGTTTGGAGATAGAGGATTTTGTGTAACAGTACTGTGGCTGAACCTGTGTCAGCCTCTATGGCCTCTGCTCTTCTCTGTAACCCTGAGAGGTGTCCTGGACCACCCCAGGGCATGCCCAGCAGCCAGGGTTGCAGTGGTATGATGTTATCAATGTGGTTGGGATTCTGTTTCCCTTCCTACCTCGTGTTTGGCATTACTGGAATGTCTGTGGGGTTAATTATTGGCATCCCGAATAAAAACCTACCATTTCCAAGTAGAGAAAAGGCAATAGTTCAGTTCCTAGAAGCTGTACTCAGAATTCCTTGGGAGAAATCAGGACCTAGGGTGAAGACTAAGATTTTTCTCATCTAGAGACCATAGTTTCTGTTCTTTCAAATAAAGACCAGGTAACAGTTGCTCAAATAACGTAGAAATTGACTTCTTTCTTATGTAAAAGTCTGAGTTGGTGAGTGGTCCAGAAGCATAGAGTAGCTCTGTCCGGGAGCCCAGGTATCTTTTGTCTTCTTGTTTGAGATCCCTCTGGGGGTTTCCTTTATCCATATGGTTGAAGATGGCTCACCACTAACATGTTCACATTCCAGGCCCCCGGAACAGGAAAGGAACAAATAGAGAGAAAAGAGATTACTTTTAAGGGCGTGACTCAGAAGTGGCACACACATCACTTCTCTCTGATTCTTTTAGCCAAAACTTCGTCATATCGCCTCACTTACTTGCAAGGGAGACAGGGAAATGTAGTTTCTAGTTGGATGGCCATGTGCCTAGCTCAAACTGAGGATGATATGCTTCTGAAAACAAGAAAGCACAGAATAGGTTTGGGAGGATAGTCTGCCACAAAACTGAGTGGACAGTGTCTCAGAGTGCTGCAGTTTAAAATTGATAGATAGCATGGCACACAACAGAACTGGACAAAAGAAATGTATGCTTAACTATTACTTCCTCATCTTCCTCCTTGGAAACCAGGCCAGTTAGAGCCCAGCCTGGAACAGTGGGTAGCAACAGTAGGGGAACCTGAAGAGACAAACTCCAGAAGCAACTCTTGAGAAGGTGAGGCAAGTTAAATAAATGTCTTTGCTGAACCCTTGAGAGGTATTCTGGGGCTTGATCCTATCTTTGCATTATTTAGGGCTCCTTTGATGGCAAATAATAAAAAACAACTTGAGGTCGCAAAACCATGTTCTTTATTATAAGGATATAGGAGTGACTCGTGGAAACCCGTGGCAGGAATGGATTGGAAGAGAGGATTGCAAACCTTTTGGGGCTCCTCCTGATTCTTCTCAATTTTCTTAGAGTGTTTCTGTCATTTTTTTTATTGAGTTCATAATAGTTTACATTGATGTGAGATTTCAGTTGTACATTATTTCTTGTCTGTCACCACTTAAGTGCTCCCCTTCACCCCCTGTGCCCACCCCCCACCCCCCTTCCCCTGGTAACCACTGAACTGTTTTCCTTGCCCATGTGTTTGTTTATATTCCACATATGAGTGAAATCATACGGTGTTTGTCTTTCTCAGCCTGGCTTATTTCGCTTAGCATAATTCTCTCCAGGTCCTTCCATGTTATTGCAAATGGGATGAATTTGTCTTTTTTTCATGGCTGAGTAGTATTCCACTGTGTATAAATACCACATCTTCTTTATCTAATTATCAGTTGGCACTTGGATTGTTTCCATGTCTTGGCTATTGTGAATAGTGCTGCAACGAACATAGGGGTACGTATGTTACTGT